CCATATCTCTAAAATCCTAGATTGCCATATTTTGGCTCGGCTTTTAGGACCCTTATCATATGGTCCGTTAGCCCTTCTGATGAGTCGACTAATGGGTAGCGACTGAGAGAATCTACCATTTGTAGTTTAGCTTAAGAATCCTTTTCAAAAATTTGTTTGCTAAAATGATTTTTATTTTTCTTGCTTGTTGGCGCAGAATGAGGGCCCGACTCACAGCTATATGGAACTGCAACCGGTGATAAACTAGAAATTGTGTGCGATCATGATCGGCTGGTTAGTTTTTGACCTTTTTAAATCATCTAATGTTTTGCACACTCTCCAATGACTGATCAATTGGATTTTGCATTTTAAGAAAATGTATATTTGGCTTCATCTATTTGAGTACTGTTTTTGCAGTGTATTTTGTAGTGTTTACTTGATGCTTGCACACAATAATGTATATATATTCTGCTCAATGAGGTGAGGTTAACAATTTTACCAAATATATAACATAATGATAGACTAATTACAAAAAATACGTACATTTAACTAACAATAAATTTTAACTTGATTAACAACTACCTTTGACAATAAATTTTAACTTGATTGGTCCAAAACTTCATTAAGGAACTGTCTCCCTCTTCAGATGTGGTTACTCGAAGTTGAACCCTATGACCAAGGAGTTCGTGTCGCCATCCCTTTTCTTTCTTGACGATGGGCAACTGAGATTTCAAGTGGCGGAAACCCAAGTTGTGGCAGCAGCAGCGACAAGGGCTGCTGCTTTTACGCACATCCAAATCTCCACCAAGCAAGTTTTCAGGAAATTTTTAAGCTAAAGAGTTATCCTTCTTTTTATACACCATTTTTACTACTTACAGTATTTTATTTCTAAGGTGTTTCAAATTTACCAGTAGAGTTGTGCAAATTTGATGTTCTATCTTTGCTGCTTCATTTCGATACATGAATGCTGATAACAGAAATTGATTCTGTATCCAAAATTGAAACTTTTGTCGTACGAATACACTTGTGATCTTGAAGAACTCTGTGTGTCTGTATACCAAAGTCACTGAACCATCAATGGTTCTTAGGCATTAAATGTCTGAACTATGTGTTTCAATACGGACTGCGTTCGGTAGGGCAATAATTGCTTTTTGAAGGGTAAAGCAAAAAATGAACTACATAAATTGGACCATGTGGACATTTTATTGGGCTAGCTTATAATTTTGTTTGGAGTAATGGTGCCACAAAAAAGCCCAAGAATAAAATGATAAATTCATACTTATATTGTCATGTTTTTATTCTACCATCTTTATGAGCAAGGTTGCCAGATATTACAACTTTTACCACATTTGGCAATTCTTTGGACAATAAAATTCTCCAATAGTTATAGGTGTTTCTAATATAAGTAAAGTATTTAAATAATTATAAAACAAAAAAAAAGGATGCATTCGTAGCAAAAATAATTATTTACCAATATTTTTTAGGATATTAAACAACTTGGACATGAACTTGGCTGATCATTATAACTAATGACAAACAAAATTTCACTGTATTTTTAGACTAAATTTGAGTGTGTCAGATGCAGATGATCAACTCTTTGGGTTTATTTTGGAGCAAATTGTGAATAATGTTCTATTAGCCATATATTTCACAAGTTACCACAGTTGACACATTTTCGCATCAACATAGGTTGGTTCAACAACAAAATAGTTGTAACACAATGCAACGTTTAACCACATATTTTCAGTATTAATAAAAAGTGTGTATGTGTATTTTTAAATTTCCTTAAATATTAGTTATAATTATACATTGGACTAGAGACGGCTGTTAAAAGAGTACAAATAATTGAGGAATGAGAATGGTTTAGAGTATAAATTATATTGAGAAATTGTTTAAATGTTACAAACAAATGAGTCAAAAGAGTGGTCAAAAAATTGTTAAAAAAAATTATTTGTGAAAAACATTTTAAACAAACAAAAAAATATGTGCCATTTTGGTTGCTTCATAAAATGTGGGTAAGTGTGTATTAAAAATTTTACAAATACTAGATATAATTATAGACTAGACTAGGGCCGGCTACAGTCACGGTCCTCATTGTGGACATGGGACAGAGCTACGAGCGAACAGAACGTTCGATAACGTTTATGAATATTAATTTACCATACAATGTTGATTTATTTTGTGGACATGATGAATAAAGTTCCTTGATTTATTAATTGAGTTGAGCTCCACCAAATAATTATTATGCATCCTTGTTAATCGAATGAACACGATTCTGTTCACAAACTTTTTCAATAATATTTGTGAATATGAATTTACTGTATATGTACTGTAAATTTTTAAATAATAGTTTTCGAACAATTGAACTTGAGTCGATCGAACACATTTAGAAGTGCTTGTTTACTAGAAATAATAAAACACAAACTCAAAATCCTCAATCTTGATTCCTTCGGTTTTATTGCACGACCTGACGGGCCAACATCCAATTTCAATTCGAAGAACAGACCCGATAAACCGGCTGGTCGAACAGGAGTATAGGTAGGTCTAACATCAGTACAAAACAAGAAGTCCTCAGGTCGAGTAAGTCATTTGATGTTTAACGAGGCAACGACAGGTCGAGTTATGACACTCGGACGGCCTGGTAGAAACTCGACCTGAAGGTATGAGTGGTCGTGTCATCAACCAGAGGGACTCATGGATTCGACATAATCGACATTCTACCTCGACGTGATTCGAACGAGTCACATGATTAGGAGTCTAATAAGGTAGACTAATGGATAAGAATAAATATTAACATAATAAGGACCACACGGGCTGTTTGAGCAGTCTAGGCAACTCACTCGGATAGTCTTAGGAAACAAGGTAACATATATCCCTCTAAAAAGAAGGGAATGATGCCCTCTAGAGCATTACATACTCTATATACACTTACATACTGTTCATCATCTTTTACATCTTGATAACTTAAACATCGAAGACATTTTACCGAAAAACTCATCTGATGTCGAGTTTTGCGAGTCATTCGCAAGCGAAGGATCCAAATCAAGTTGAAACCGAGAGGTCTTTTCATACCACATACTCTATCCTATGCTCAAAATCTAACTTTTAACTCAACTGCATTATCCTCAATATTGTCCATACAATTAAAGAATACCAAACAATCATTATTACACACTACATAATTTTTAATTCACTATTCATTCGATGATATTATTTTAATTAATCATAACTCCACATCATCTTTCTCCTACTCTTACCTCATACTTTAATTATTTTATTTTACTTATTATGATAATACACTAAAATCCACTAAACATACTAAGCTTTTTAAAATTAGCACTAGTTAATAAAAAAAACTCATTTTGCAGCGATATATTTATATCAAGTAGGGGTCAGCATCGGTGTGGTTCGGTAAAAAACCGTACCGCACCGAAAAAAACTGAAAACCGAATCTTTAAAATTTCATCACCGAACCGCACCACAGTAGAAGGAAAAACTGAACCGAACCGAATCGAAAATTTTGGATCGGTTCGTTGCAGTTTTTCAGTTAATCAAAATTAAAAATATATCTACCAATTAATGTAATGTAAGTAAAGATATAAAAATTAAAATGATATTTTATTGAAATAAACAAAAATTTGTCATTTTATGATATTCAGTGCGGTTTCGTTAAAACCACACCATTCGGACAAAAAACCGAACCGCACCGAATAGTTCTGTTCGGTACGACTTTTGTTTCGGCTCAATTTTGCTCACCGCTAGACTATCAAGCACGCCCTAGTTTTTGACCTTTTGGCCGGGCCGGGCCGGGCCATAAACCTCATCCTGAACCTTACGAGGCTGACTTCTGTAGCTCAGGCTCAGCCGACATTAGAACTTCAGTTCATCATCATCGTCGTTAGTTTTCAAACCATCCTGTATTTCACCGGAGAAAATCGGAGACAGGAAGACGGCGAGAGAAGAACAACTCAAGGGGAGCTATGTATATGGCCGTCTCATCCGCGTGTACGATCATTCCGCCACCGGCGGCCCGGCAGCGTCAGCTACCTACCGCGCCTCTCTCTGTTTTAGCCCCTTATTCAAACCTTCAATTCGCTTATTTCGTTAATCCTAATCAACGCCGGCGGCGGCGGCTGCTGCATCTCAATCGTTTCAATACTAGCTCGGCTCCAGTTTCCACCCTAGGCACGACGGACGAGCACGATTCTCCCCAGACATCTACCGCCGTCGGCGGTAATTGTTACCGCTCCTCTTAATTCTCGCTCCAATTATCACTCTATTTTATCCAATTTTTTGAAATAATAGTAAATAAAAAAAAGCTTCTGAATCAATAGAATTTGGTCATGTTCAGAAGGAAGCGGCGGCGGTAGCGGCTGGCCGGAATTCGCCGAGAAGGTATCAGGCGAATGGGACGGGTTCGGGGCAGATTTCACGGTGGACGGTAAGCCCGTACATCTTCCGGAGTCCGTGGTTCCGGAGGCCTTCCGTGAATGGGAAGTCGAGGTCTTCGACTGGCAAACACAGTGCCCAACTCTCGCTCAACCCCACCACATCAACGCCGGAGATGAGCCTCCTTCATTTTTCTACAAAACCATCAAACTCCTCCCCACCGTGGGTTGCGAAGCAGATGCCGCCACCACCCACTCCATCAGTGAGAAACACATCTCCTCCGCCTCCACCTTCGCCTACCACCGGCCCACCGGATCCTATGTGGCGCTGTGGTCCCCACTCTCAGGCAATTCTCCGGCGGCTGAGCTGGAGCACTGCTTGATCGACCCAGGTGACCGGGAGTCTCGGGTTAGGGTCGTTCAAGCCTTTGGGCTCGGGCAGGATGGTTCAATTGAGTTGAGAGGCTTGAGCCTGTTTGTCGAGCAATGGTACGGTCCCTTTAGAAACGGTGATCAGTTGGGCGGCTGTGCCATTCGTGACTCGGCATTTGCCGCCACACGGCCGCTCGATTCTTCCCGAGTCTCCGGTTTGGTCTGGGAGGGCCTTACTTCTGTTGCTGACTTCCGCGCTTTACACAACAAAGTAATGTCTCGTTTTATTGAGTTCATACTTTTGCCTGAAATTGTGAAAATGTTGAAAGTTATCAACTTGAAGGGTGTGCATTTCGACTGACTGTTGTTTGTTTGTTTGTTTGTGTGTTGGTCAATTTATTTATATTATATAAAAAGACGATGATCAAGGAGCTTGGTGAAGAATGCGTGAATGAGACGATTAGAGATGAATCGGACCTTATATTGCTCCCTAAGCAGCTTTGGTGTTCAGTCAAGAAAGCTGAAAGTGGAACGACTTGCTGTGAAGTGGGATGGTTGCTGGATCAGGGACGAGCAATTACTTCGAAATGTACCTTTTTGAATGCGCAGCTCAAGGTATATATATCTATAGTTATATACTATCGTCTCTTTCATTTTTCATTTTTTTGTTTTTTGATACTTTTCTCAATATGCATAGAACCGTAAGGATGTGCCTGAATAAAAAACGTATTTGCTGGCTTACGGTTAGTGCTTTTGTCGTGCAGGAGATTGCATTAGCAGTTGAAACTGCAACAGTGAAGTAGTGCAGTTTTTTATCTTCTCGAATGGGATTAGCTGCTGCAGGTGAGTATATGTATGTGTGTATATATATATACTGTCACATAGTTTTATACTTTTGTACCATGTTTTTGCCAGTGTAACGATAAACACTATGTTGTTTGAGCTGATTTAGAAGAATTTAATGATAAAATACAGTTATTTGCAAGTAGAATCATAATCAAGTCTAATATCTTTCCACTCTGAAGTAAAAACTTATTTCTAAAGAACAAACTAATCAGAATATAATAGCATTGCAAAGCAGATTACAAGAATCATGAACTGGAATTAACAAAAGCTCAAAGAAAAACACCATTCTTTCATCCAGCAATACACAAAATCACAAACATGTTTTACAATCTCACTAGTTACACAAGCAAATACAACTACAAGAACTCGGTTTTAGTTTCTCTCGTTTGAATAGCCAATTTTGTTGCTAAAAATATGTACTCCAGAAAGCATCAGATAGACTTTTCTGTACACGAGCGTTGATGGATAAAAATCAGAAAGGAGTGTCACATCTTCAGTGTAGACCTAATAATGGAAAAATAAAATTCAACAAATAAAAAAAAAGATGCAACTATTATTGCAAGGATGAGCTCTAAAGATTTCACGCTATCGTTCAGCATCTGAAAGCATTTGCACAGGATTCAGAATGCCTATGAGAAGGACCAGTCAGTAATTTCATCATATGGATAGTTGAAGTATACAATATGTGCATAAAAATTGTCAAGAATCTTCATCTTCAGAGAGAATCTTTGATACAAGTGACATTCACAGTTTCTTCATAGCTAATACCAAATTAACAATGAACAAAGAGAAATGAAAATGTGAGTTATGACCAGTAAACTATGATAAATCCTAATGAAACACCTTAAGAATGATAAATTGAATATATTTACTATCCACCTAAGACTTTAGGAGTCAATCTTGGCTTATATATAACAGACCTGTGACGAGTGGCGAGTGGCGAGTTGAAGTAGAATCTAAAGAGCTCCCGAACCACCCCTCATGCTTATATTTAAGCTGTTTCTCATTGTTCGCCTCCCAACACCAGCATTGCCTTTTGTCATCATAGCAACAAATTCCCCATAATCAATCCTCCCATCCTGAAAAAAATGTCCCGTAAAAGGCAATCCGTTTAAAAAAAATCAATGACCAAAATCAGATCATAATCTAGCATTTGTCCTGTGTTTACACGAGTATGCACAACTTATATTGGTACATTCAACATGCTCGAAATACCATTGTTTTAGAATATTTTTATCTGTGCCTTCACGATTGGTAACTTTGGGACAATGATAATTTACAGCCAATATAATTGATGTGAACTATCAGCAGACTGAATATCTCACGATTAAGATAATTTTTTTCTTGCAATAAGCTTCTTGTTTCAATCAGCTAAAAGTCGTGTCATGTTCAATCAAAATTTCAGGCAAAAACTCCACGAACTTGCATATATTCTTCGAACTAGGATTTAGTATTTTGTTCTTCTCAACCGTGCAGATATGCAATCCATAAATGAGGTCACAAACTTGCATTTTGAAACATTCTGAAGAATGTAAAAAGCAAGAAGAATGTAACACAATATTAACAGCAAATGTGAAAAGAGAACTTACATTATCTTGGTCAACTTCTTTGATAATGTCTTCAAGTGGAACATCTGTCATACCGTGTTCTACACAGGCTTGCTGAAGTTCATCGACTGTAATATAACCGCTTCCATCCTTGTCAAAGTACTGGAATGCAGCCCAAAGATGTTCTTCGCGTTCTAGTTGATTTAAATGAATCGTGGCTGCTATAAATTCTCCATAGTCAATGGTTCCACTGTTATCTACATCAGCCTGCAGCCAGAAGAGAAAAATTCATCAAAGCAATGCCATTAAATGTCAGAAATTCAAAAGCACAACAAAGCATGGGAATCCTATAAATTACTGGCGAGCAATAACTAATCGATATTGGACAAACATAACTTTTACAGAAAGACAAAAACATTTAAAATTTTTGGTATCTTTTAAATAACCGGTGACAATAAATAACCTACTAAAAGGGAAAGTTGCCATACCGCATCCATAAGATCACGTATTTCAGTATCTTTTAAAGTGGATCCATATTTTCTTAAACCAGCTTTCAGCTCATCAAATGTGATTGCTCCACTGTTATCAGTGTCCATGGTTGTAAACATCTCTCTTAAGCCCGCAATCTCCTCTTCTGACAAACTTTCAGCTATAACCTGGACAAACAAACAATAGGATTGCCATTAAAATTTCATTTTCCTATATAATTGTGAGTAAGTCTCCATCAGCAAGCAACACTGTACAGAGTAATGCATTTTGAGTATAGAGAGATAAAGCATATGTTTTTATAAAACAATGTATTAAGATGACAACAAAAGAAAAGCTTATAGAATCATCAGGTGAAAAAATGCTCAGATATGGGTACATAGTACATACCCGTAATGCCATTTTCTTCAACTTATTCATTGCAGAAAATTGTTTGAGACGAGAAAGGACAGCTGGATCCAGGGCTCTGTCAGGCGCGACACCATTTTCAGATATCCAAGGATGACCTATATATAAATAAGGGTCGAAAAATATCAGACTTGTTACTTAGCAGCAGACAGATAAAAATGACAGAACATAAAGTAAAAACCAAGACTAAATTTTATTACCGAGCATGCAAAAGACGCAAAAAGCTAAATTTTTCTTGTCTTTTCAAGAAACTATTTGAGTAAGGGATAAATCTCTAGAGCAAAAAAAAAGTCCAGACACAACAATTTATGTTGCAAAACATAAAGCAGAGACCTTCATCAACCCAACTCAATTTATCTATTCTCAAGAGAAATGAAGTAGATTTCACTCCATTTAAAATAAATTATACAAGTGGTTAGCAAGAAAAGAAACAGATTTCACGCACATAATACTTGATGAGCAGTCAACCGCTCGGACGGCTGCATGCATAGCATCTTTCTGATAAGATCCTTAGCGCTTTCTGATATTAGTGGCCAAGGATCAGAGTCGAAATCAATATGTCCTTTCAATACAGCATCGAATATTCCCTGCTGAGTTTCTGAAGCATATTAACAGAGATCAAACATCAGTTACAGACTTACAGCACAACAGGAGATATTATTATATTAACCACTCGATTAGCAGATCAATTTACCAGCCCAAAAAGGAGGTACACCACTTAGCAATATATATACTATAACCCCTGCTGTCCACACGTCCGCTTCTGGGCCATAATGCTTCAAAAGAACCTCAGGCGCCACGTAATATGGGCTCCCCACCACATCCTTGAAAATCTGACCTGAAGAGGTAAAAAAAATGCAGAAAGGTAAGTTAAGGCCATGTTTGGTAACAGCTTATAGCTTATTTGATTAACTTATAAGCTCTCTATATTCAAATAAGCTTCGTTTGGTAGGACGAGCTTTTTAAAAATGCTCGAGCTTATCTCATAAGCTTGTTTGGGTAGCTTTTCAAATAAACTAGTTTAAATTTTTATTTCAGCTAGCTTACCAACTAATTTACCAAACATTTTTATAGTTTTTCAGCTAAAAGTCATAAGTTATAAGCTATAAGCTCGAAAATTACTTATAAACTATATATAAGCTAGTTTTTTCAAACATAGCCTAAAACACAGAACAACCAAAACCAGTCTAGACCCTCATAATTGATGAACATTCACCTGGCTTAAAGAAAACAGACAGCCCGAAATCAATAGCTTTGAGAGAAAAATCATCATCCTTGTTAACCAACAAGAAATTCTCCGGTTTAAGGTCTCTGTGCATGACCCCGAGCGAATGGCATGCCTCAACAACTCCTACAATGATCTTAGTCAGCTCGGCTGCCTTCTGCTCACTGTAATGCCCCCTTTGAATTATACGGTCAAACAATTCACCGCCAGCACATAGCTCCATCACAATATGGACATACAGTGGATCCTCATAAGCCCCTTTAATGGTGACTATATTCTTATGCCCGGCAAGATGATGCATAATCTGAATCTCCCTCCGGACATCTTCAACATCTTCTTTCGAGATCAACTTTCTCTTTGATATCGACTTACAGGCATACTCAATGCCGGTTGAGATCTCTGTGCATAAATAAGTCGTGCCGAATTGGCCCTGTCCTAATTTATGGCCGAGGACATAAAGATCACGGATGTTTGCGGTTTTGTGGCCGAGCACGAAGTAAGCTTGGTTCGTGGAGCCTCGGCTCATGGTGATATCTTTCCTTGGGCTGACGGGAGGCGGGAAATTTGAATCTTTTATACCGTTCTTGGAAAATTCTTGAGGGGCAAGGCTCGTATAGGAATGGGTGTCAGAAGAGTTGGAGCGAGTGGAGGATGATTTGGGCTTGGCGTTGTTCGGTTGGTCTTCGGGCTGAGTGTAGCCCGGAAAAGGTTTGCCTCCGATTGACCCACGGCATGTGTTGCCCATGAAACGGCTAGTGCACCCCCCCTTTATCCCTCTATTCCGGGCTCAATTTCGTTCGAGTGATGTTACCGTGTATGATTCTTGCTCGCATCAATCTGTGCAAAATGCTGCAATCCTGCAAAATCAGAGACAATAGGTAAACAAATATCCTTCCCCGTTAACTTACAGATGCAAAAAATGAATAAATAAATTGCCATTTTATACAGAAATCTCAGCTCCTGAATAGCCAGCCTACCAAGAAAAAGGGCAAAAACGACCAAAAAAAAAAAAAAAACTGCAAACAAGGAGACAGGAGGATCAATCAGATCACAATCAGAAATGACAGAGCAAACACGAAACAATAATTGAACAGCAAACAGAACATGATAATCAAGGAATAAGCACGAACAAATCCAACTAACAAAGGCAATTTCGTATAAAGGAGACATACACAGAGATCATATACGCAGATGGGCATTAAAAAAGACGAGAAATTGGAGCGAAAGAGAAAAGGGTTTGTCTCAGGTGAAGACAGATAATGAACGAGCTAAGAGAAAAAACGGATCTAAAGATTACGTAAGAAAATTACCAGAGAATAAACACAGAGATAGAGAGAGAGAGAGAGAGAGAGTCAAAAGGATGTTTGTAGGCAAAGGGGTATGCGTGCGTGCCCGTGCGCAAAATACGCGCGCGCGTGTTTGGTTGAAATCACGTCTGAGGAAGATGATCGGAAGTTATGTGGAAGATTCTCTCCTCCAGCTCGGCTGCCCTCCCACCTCCATTTTTTCCTATTTGCCATTGATAAAAGAAGATAGATTAAACAAATATGAAAAATATTTTGTTTTTCTTTTTAATTGATAAATGAGTCGAGTTCGAGCTTGAACTCTCAATAGTCGAGCTTGGGCTAGAGCGCTTATCGAGCATTGTTGAGTTCAGCTTGTTAAGTTAACGAGTAGTTACATGAACTAGTGAAAATAGTTATTTTCACCTCGTTTTGAAGTTCTGTTAAGTTTTTCACACTGCTCAATAAAAAGCTAGATTTTTCACCCCAGAAAGTGTGAAAGACATTGTGCGATGAATATGCGACAATTGCGCGATTATATTGTGCGAAAGTTAAAAGGGCGAAGACATTAACATATCCCTTCACACTTTCTGGCGTGAAAAAAAAAAAGTTAAAGTGCCAAGACATTGTGCGATGAATGTGCGAGCAATTGATATGTGACAGTTATGCAGTCCATTCGTATAACCTTCGCACTTTCTGAAGTGAAAAGCTTAGCTTTATATTAGGCGGTGTGAAAAACTTAATGTATCTTTGCATTGGGGTGAAAAAGATTTTTTTTTTTTTTCAGAATTCACCTCGTTAAGAATCCTAATAAATAATAATCTCAATTCGAGTCAACAAACCAAATTATATTAAAAGTTTATAAAATCGTTTAAAAACTCCTAATTATTAATTATAGCAAGTTTTAACAAAAAGAACTGGACACAACTTCTTTAATTAAAAATGTAAACCAAACTTAAACGAGCACAAATGCAACTTTTTTTATCAAATGAGTTGTGCACAATCCACATCTATTTCTCCTTCTTGATATTAATTAAATAATATAGTTAAATAAACATATTTTGTTACCTTTTATTTTAACTGTCGGTCGGCGCTCGCGGTGCATATTAACGCAAAACAAATCAAATGAGTGTAATATAAATAGGGAAAATGCTACGGTCTCGTTATGGTATTTTACCGCGGATATTTTAATCTTTAGACCATCTGTTTTATTGTAACAAGACCGTAACATTTCCGTGCAAATAGTCATAGTAGGTAATTAGGTCACATTAAAGCAACGCAAATCAAATGAGAATATGACATAAATAGTCCTAGTAAGTTTGACCTTGTACTGGTGTGGGTGGCATTCATTATTATCATCATTTGTAACACTGATTGCTTTATATTATTATGTTTTATTGTAGTCGGCCAATCTAATCATATTACATTTTGTTAATGTTTTATATTTTAAAAAATAACAGAAACAAAAACACAATATTCCAATGTCAATTTTTTTTTAAAAAAAATTATATTATTGGAAGAAAATAACCCCAACAGAAGATTCAGATAGAGCCAAATGACCAAAATTACTTGGTAACATTTGACCTTTAAAGTATGCTCCCAAGATAATATATATAATAAATAAAAATAAACAATTGAAACAGAAAAAAA